AAAGCATTGTCATGACTTGACAATCACGTAATATGATTGATAATATTAATGAAACTATTAGCATAACCGGTCATCAAATCGACTTATAATTATCACTAGTGTTGTTTTTCTTTTATCTTCATTCACTACAGATGATTACAGTATGTTTCTTTATCGGTTGCTCATTCAGTAAATATCTCAATACCTTGTCAGTCTAATTGATGGTTTAGCGACACAATAATGCATGCAAATAATCATTATAAGCAGTCGAGCAAATCTCCTGCAAACTGAAAACATCAATGTCGAATTTACCCCAACACTGACTAAGGTTCAAGCCATTATCATAGACATGAGTTGGGAGTGTACTCCCCTTGGTTACAACTTGTGTTCTTCCTGCTAATCACATGAGCATCTCTCACTGTTAATCATCTTGTAAAAGCTTATTTAGCCAAATACATCCTGCAGCACCACATCACCTAGTAATATCACACATAGGCCTAACTGATTTTAATAACTTATAACCACTATATCTCAATTAAATCGTATTCCGCCTTATGATAAACTGCATACTTGCAACTAACTTGTATGCATCATCAGCCGTCAGGTATAAATATGTATAAATAGTCTATGGCAACTCAGAACATCGAATCTAGAGCATGTCTCTTACGAATACACTCATGTTTAACGATTTGTTCTTAGCTATCTGTCCAAAACTCATATAATTATCACTCATGTATTGAAATTTTGTTTCAATAACCATTCATGTGTATTAGTAGTATTAATAAATTCTATCACGGCCAAGTAAAAACGAGGTTGAGAAAATCTCCACGTAACTAAATAAACCGTATCAAACTAACTGGAACACTAGTTGGAATTCTTTTCCATGGTAATAATTTTGTTCTTTCAGTTAGCCTACTAATACAGATGCAATTGGAAATCACATATGGACGGGTAACCGGCATAATTGTTAATTGGTTTCATAATTTAAACCAAAACTAATACCAATAATAACATTTCTAAAATATTCATTACTTTAATATTTCTAAACACAAAATACTTACTACCTATATGTCAAGTTTTTAACCAACATCTATTAACACGCATTGTTTTATTATTATTACTGTAATCCCATTTTTTATAGCTCAAATAATTTTCACCCAAGTTGTCATTTTAAGCGTGTCAAGCATGAAGGCAGATTTTTAAAAAAAATTATTACATGTATTTCCCGACCAGATGCTGCCGCCTTCTTTTTGATTTATCTTTCAGCTTATCATTACCCGAGGGATTCTTCATAGTCTTGGTAACCTTCAACGCACGACGATCCCATCCAATTCGATATCGAACCAGCATCACGTTGATTCTGGCGGGAGAGTAGTGTAGTGGCATTGAAGAATAACCGCACAATCCACAATGCTGAACACGAGACTACTCAGAAAATAGATATTCAATATTTAACGCGGATAAATACCTAACAATGGAGAAGGCGCGAACAATGAGTTGAGTGAATTAGAGTTGATCGAACGGCATGGCTCGGCCATGCAGACGTGGTCCCTGCTGAATGTTATCTTATTTCTTCTATTCATATTAAATATATTGTTCTTTCTCTAGCCTAACCTTGTTCTACATCATGTATTGGTAATTGGTACGATACAGTGAGTTGGTGTAGTCGATGGTGTGACTTCCACGTAAGGTCTTATAGATTAGGCAGTTATATCATGACGAATCTACAAATTTAGAATTAGGTCTATTAATAAAGCAGCACTAATATCATAGTAGACCATAATTCTACAGACTCATACAAATCTTCTCAGCTTTTGTATACTCGGCTTCAGAGATCTTGTGGTTAGAAACTAACATAATTGCACCTCAGTTGCTAGCTATAATGTTAGTTATAGTAAATATCCCGATGATTTTGATGTAACTCTCGAAGATGCATCATTTCTTGTGTTCCATATCCGGAGAAGTTATGACTTGCTGGTGTAAATCAAAAATGTTGTCGCCCATTCTCGGTTTAACGGGATGCCCAATAAAATTTCTAGTGTTCAAAAGAGAAAGTCCACTCACTAGTCACTTTTAATTCGGCAGTTATTTGTAAGTTGTTTAACCATGAATCTAAGTGAATCTGTTTTCAAGAGCAGCAGATTTATTAGAACCCACAGTAAAACACTTGTCCTACTCTGAATAGGGGATTTTAGAACTAATTTTTTCTCCTCCAAGTTTGTCATTTTGTTAATTCGTAAGATTTCACTTACATATCAGTGACGCTGGAGACAAGATAGCATTCTATCTACAGTCTTAATGTAAAAGTCCGAGTTAGCATGTAATAAGTTGTCTTAGCAGAATAGCTAATTCAGCATAAATTTGAAAACAGGAGTCTGAATGATGAGCGTAACAGAAAAACCTCAATATCACAGATTGATTGACTTGTTCTCAAACATAAAAAGCCTGATACAAACAAGATAATCGACTGGCTAGTCACTTGAGAGAATCAAAAGGGAATGTAAGAATACCGCTTGATATACCACATTCTGAGCGCAATTTAATCACGAAGACATCTCAATCCTGGTTCTCTAAAGAAAAATTTATCGTGTTGTCATAGCTTTCAATTTCATCACGAAAACTTAACTAAAATATCTTACTGACGACAGGCGTTCAAAAAATCTACAGTAGCTCACCCTGAACTTGATGTATACGTTCATTGGGATTTCCTACTGCACACAACATTATGTGCTACAAAGCAGTCTGTCTCCAAACGGTCACTAAATATTACAAGTAACCAACAGCCATAAAGAGTCTTACTCTTTGATTGCAAAGACACGAAAGGCATTGCTGGGAGTTTCTCACAACAACCTGAAAAAACTATGGGGTCCCTCATAAGTGATCTGCGTGACTGTTTACTACACATAAACTTCTTTCCGTCCCAACAGTACGGTTTCAGGAACAGTCACCCTTGTAGAACCAACCTACTGACCGTGGTAGACAGATGAACAACCATCCTTGATCATAAGGAGAAGGTTGGTGTCAAATACCTCCACTTCTCAAAAGCTTTTGATAAGGTCAATCATATATGTCTTATTAATAAGATTGAACGACTACGTTAAAGTCATCGTTAATTGACTTACTTAATTCATATCTAAATAATGGACTTTTAAAATTCAGGGTAAGCTTCGCTTTCTCTCAAGTTACAGAATATCCTAATAAGGTCCATCAAAGTCCAATATCAGGTCCTCTTCTTTTATCAATTTATATAAACGACCTTCCTCAGTAGGTATCTTCTGATTTACTACCTTTTTCTGATTACGTAAAACTCCGGAGAGAAATTTCTAACCAAGATAATAAACCGGCACTTCAAAAAGATCTGACTTGACTTCAAAGTCGGGAGGATAACGGACTTACTTTCAACCATCCAAGTTGTAAAATGGTCAATCTGCGGCATGTTGCAGATTACGCACACAGCTTGGATAACTGCTTTTTAAAGGTATCCCAAGTTGATAAAAATCTAGAAGTCTTTGTACCCTATGATCTGCGTCTGTTATAACGTTCGGTTTCCTCCTACACAGATGAGACGCTTATTTGCCTTAAACTCATATCTATACTAGATATCCTCCCAGTGTCCGTTTTACAGGACTTCAGTGAAACTCAGGTCAAGAAAACGTGACGAGCTTGACTACAACGTTAATATATTTCCACACACAAAACCGACGACACTCCAATAATATTTGTAGGAGAATACATAACGCATCTAATACCCTTCAGACTGTTTACCACTCTGACTAAGCAAACAACCAATCACTCTCACTTTCACCCACACATCAGAATTCTTAGTCGCACTGAGGCAAAAATGCCTTTCGACTAAATCTTGCATTGTTAACGTCGAAGCACATTTTTGGCCAGTTCGATGGTGGAACGTTTCACTAAATGTTCAATAGTTTTATTCCACCTCATTTAGGGTATAAAAATAAGGTGTTTCCTTCCTTACTCCAAAAGGTTTAGAATACATTGGAGCGCATCCAACGGCGAGTCACGAAATCAGTTAGATAACTCAATTTCAAATCTTAAGAAGAATGCCCTAAGAAACTGAGTTTTTGTAAAACTGAGTGTGAGTGTCTGAGAGGTGACCTTTTTATAACTTAAAGCATCCCAAACACTCTATCTTATACATCTACTTAAGCTCAGTCGCTGTATAAAACCTAGGGTAACGCCCAGAAATTAGAAACACAACATAGCAGGATGGACTTTAGCACACCTTTTACTCTGTTACTGGATACAGAAGTCAGCTGAACGAAAATGCCTTATATTCTGTCCAGAAATGTTTGGAACTATTTGGAGCCCCTTATGAAGAGCACACCCAATCACTTAACCTTTACGCATTAGAGCATAGGCCTCTTAGAGATGACCTTCTAATGGCTGAGGTATCCTCAACACTTCTGGATATCTCCTTAACCACATATTTAAGCTTAGTCCCAATACAAACCTAAGTGGTAACATCCAGCAAATTGGAGACACAATATAGCAAAGCGAACTGTAGACACAACTTCTACTCCTTAAGATTTGTCAAATGCTGGAATTCGCTGCCGACTGAGCTGTTCTAAGCGATTTTCCAGGAGTCCTTTAGGAGGCAATTCGATCTATTCTTAAGGTCTAATGATAGTATCATACTATGACTTACCAATTTCTTTTTCCTCTTTTTTTCGTTGACATAACTAGGTTCCTGCCTGGAGTTATTCGTGATCCTCTGCTACCAGACACGGAAGCCTGTTAAGCAAAAGCTTCTTCTATTCCGTCCACAACCATTTGAACTGCAATCCAGGTATTTTTGATCTGTCTTTTAATATGCACCGTTTTACAAGTCCAAATATAATAAATTTGAATGTCTCAATGAGACTGAAATAAAATGTTTGGTCATAAATACGACCAACTATGAGCATTCATCATAAAAATGTACTAGGTGTTCAAGACTTCTGAAAACTACGAGGGAGTTGAACATTAGGCACTTGTCCCGCTAACCAAGTGTAAAGTGTAGATGCGCGCTATTTAGTTAACCGTATCAAGTCAGACGGCTGCATCATATTTAGTTGTTGTCGATCTCTTTGGTTAAAAAGTGTAAGTACAGCAATTTTCCTATTGTCTGTCCACCTCCTCTCGTGTTATGTTTTTCAGTTTTCGCATTGCTCCGCACGCTCCACTAGTACATTAAAACCCAAACTCCTGATTTTGGGCCCGAGCTTCCAATTTTGGGAAAAATCCCGAAGTCAAATGACCTTCACCAATGTTTGGGGAAGTTTTAGGATAATCCCTAAAGTCAAATGACCTTAACCAAGGTATAAGGGGAATTTTGGAGAATTTCCCCATGTCTGGGGAAATTTCGGGGGGTTTTGAGCCATTTCCCCTAAATTTCCCCAAAATGTGCCAAATTTTCCTCAAAATTGGGAGCTCGGGGGGGGGTTAATCCTTATGACAATATTGTCATAGAGTTGTAATTATGACGAAACACGCGTCCTGGGTTCCACTGCCAGCCATCATTCATCTTTGCTCATGAAGCTCGTGACCTAAGGCAATATCGAGACAATCCTCACAGGATACCCAAGGTCCCAAGTTTGGGGAAATTTTAAGGAAACTCCCGAAGTCAAATGACCTTCATCAATGTTTGGGAAATATTGGGGAATTTCCCCAGGTCTGGGGAAATTTTGGGGTTTTTGTGCCATTTCTCCAAAATGGGTCGAACTTCCCCCAAAATTGGGAGCTCGAGTATACATGCTAACAAGAGACTGATCAATTGCAGTCTTAAACAATAATGAGGAGATGCAAGCAAATAACACTAAGTGGATTAGAACTATAATAGTTCACATTTAATTAACCAAATGTGAACCACTACAGTTCTTTATCACCCGTTATTTGTTTGTTATAATTAGCAAAACTGTCTGGAAATCCTTACTTATAATTAAGAATAATTTGTGATATGTTCAGAGGTTGTTGTGTATCGAAATTAACATAATGTGATTTTCAGTGTTTTCCTGAATACAAAACCGCAATAAATTTGAACTCACTAGAGCCCTCACAAATTTTACACCGGTTTGACAAGACAGTTGGATGTCAGACCCATAGAACACTATGGAAATAACAGCTGTCTGTCGAATACTTCAGTTTCGAATGAAATGTAGGACAAGATTAGCAGTTACATTTTCAAACTTTAGAGTTTCTCCCACCTATTCCTAAAATATGCTTTATGAGACCAGATTATGTGGATTTGGGATATTTTGAAATTCATTCAAAACTTAAGTTTGATAGGGGCCAATTGATTCGATCTGCTCTCGGCCTCCTCATGCTAATATGTTCAGAAAGACTGGTCAATTCAATCCCGTTCTATTATATATCTGGTATGAGTATTATATTATTCTCCAGTTTTATGTTATTTCTTTTTGTCCTGATAAAAATAATGCCAAGGAGCTGTCTTTCAAAGTGTCATCTTTGGCTTTGGTAGTACTCTGGGTTTAACCTTTCTCTCCATTGATTACTTACACTGCTGTCGTACAATTTGTGGTTTCAAAATGAGAGTTCGTATTTGTATACGTTCTTATTGTCTCATTATACTCCTTTGTAATCTTATACCGGTTGCAGATACCGGACAGACTAGTAAAGAATAATCCTCGAACAAAGGTTATTATCACATTTTTTCGCTCAGCTGGGAGCATTTTATTTGTGTGCAGTGTGTGTCTACCCTTACTTAATTTGACGGACGTTGGTTCGACACTTTTTAGAGACCCACCCACTTTCGGTACTTTTAACATATTAAACAAATAACCAAAAACATTCCTCCAGTCTTTTTTGGTTCTGTTGAAAATAGCACAGTAATTTTAAGTCTCCATCTCGGGAACCGCAATACGCCTCCTCATTCCTAAGTGGATAGTGGGGAGTATCCCTAGAAGTTACCGGTCAGTAGTTCAAGCCCGATAAGTTTACCATCGCTATACACACCTGATAGTTCTTCACATTAATGGACTAGTCTGCATTTGTATTATTGGATCGTACAGTGAATGACAAAATAAGCTATTTTCCATATTCCTTTTCTCTATTTCCTGGTTGGCCCGAAAAATGAGGTGGAATTTAAGTATCTGTTGTTAAAAAGAGATTATGCAAGCGTGCTCACAATCTTCCAATAAAGCTTTTACCGTGCTACAACCAGGTTTCATACCAATAACTCAGACAGGTTCTTTTATTGTAAAAAATTTTATAAACTTGGTTATCCTTGGTCACACAACCAAGTAAAAGCCATTTTCGAATCAATCTTACAAAAATCGGTTCGATAATTACTGAGGTGTGAATGTACTGCTTCTACTTCCCTTATCTGCAGATTGTCGAGTTATACAGGACGATTAATTTTTGGTAGGTGTAAACTACCTGGGTGGGGATCGCGAGACGATAGCAACCGATGGTTACAGACCCTGAATGACATGGCTCAAAATCGTTTGCAATGGCGGAGGTGCATCCACTCTTTGTATTCTCCCAAATTTTAATCATCTATATTCTTTATGTCCCTTTTCTCTTCACAGTATTATACTCCTTGACTAACATCTTCAAACCCCAATCTTTCCGATTACTGCTTATACTTTTACTACCTCTACCACTATGGGATTTGAATCGACAACTGCATTTCTGTCCTAATGTGGTATGGCAACTCGAACTGATGTACGTACGTATGAAGTTCTACGTTGTTACTGACTGACTGATTAATTTTTGCTGTGCATGTGAGAAGACTGCAATATATAGGAGGCATCACAATTGACACAACCTGGGCGTTGAGATGTACGGAGTAAACCAGCGATAGCAGTACATGCTATATCCATGCTATATCCAAGTCAATATAAAAAGCAAAAAGTTCAAGATTCTTCAAACCATAGAAGGTCGAAGGAGTGGAGCTTTCCATATAATACTACTAAGCTCAACCAATAGGAAGGTTTGACTTGATATTCAACTTGAACCATTTTTTCCTACCGCACAACCTGTTTGGATTTTATCCCATTAGTACACACAAATCTGCTGTACTCCATCACACAATATCACATTTTCCACACGCAATCAGGTATATACAAATATATCTCATAATATCGCCAACCTGAATAATGGTGTAGTCGAACTTGTTCTCAGTACTCTCAGTTTCGTCTTTTTTCTCTTCGCATCATCTGAAACTAATTTGATTTTGCTACCTATTCTTCAAAGAAGCAGATTATACTGTCTCGAAAAGTCTGAAATTAAATCTCAGATTCATCGGAATATTACAGCTTTATTAATATTTAGTTATAAACAATCCACCGAGTACTCATTTCATTCGAAATTATAAATGCTTGTGTAATAATTTGTATTTATAACAGTACTTCTTTACTTTGGCTGATTCAAATTTCTTCCAGTTCTTTATGCTTTCAGAAATAATTAATCACTTGTCTCTGTTTTCTACTCATTCAGTTTAATATCAGAAATGAGTATCAGTCTTGCTGAAAGTGATCCTGAAATTATGGCATTATGCAGGGAGGAAAAAGAACGTCAGAAACTTGGGTTGGAGTTAATAGCTTCAGAGAATTTCACAAGCAAAGCTGTCCTGCAAGCCTTATCGTCTTCGTTTCACAACAAATATTCTGAAGGTCAAGTTGGTGCTAGGTAATTATGACGCTTTACATAATTGTATAATAAGATATTATAATCTAATCATTATTATCAAGAATATTTCGGATATACTTTGCCTTACGCTGTTATTTTTTTGTTGACATTAATTGCTTATATGTACCTTCAAAGGTCAGTTACATACACGTACTTTCAGATAATAATAGTAATAATCTCAACGGTCAACTAAACACTTACGTAAAGTTTAGAGTATTTCGGCATATTTTGCACCTATCAAATGGTAAGCGATATGTTACTGATGAGGAACATAAAACCTGGTACATTAACACTACCATAAAACTTCCCGATCATCGGAGTCGACTATTGCAACAAATGAGATTATTGTTGGTAAGTATACATCTCTTCTAGAAACCGGAAAAGGGTAAATGTTCAGTCGACTCATCCACGCTTGAAATCAGCATTATTTTCCCCAATTTCCCCTGTAGTAGTTTTGGTTAAGCGTCTTTTAATCACCAAGGTCAATATTTTACATGTCGTACTAGTCAAATTGCCTCTGGGATTATGGGAAGAGAAATTTGGTCCTTTCATATAAACGAATTATTAGTCATATTATGGGAATGGTTGTCGACATGGTCTGGCAGTATAAAGTATGGTAGTTTTTCACGTTATTCACCTAAGTAGTGGGTGTCAACCATGCAGATTGTAACCGTTATATCTCTGCAAGCATATGAAGAGCTAAATTAGTATTTTCTAAAATACTAGCTTTTATTTGATCGAAAGATCTATCTATTTACTGAGTAGCAAAGACCACTCAACACATTTATATGATATTCCACGCTTATGAGACATGGCTCTCTGAAGCGCTCTTTACATTCAGTGAAACTACAGCTTATATGATATTATTGCTCAATTCTCAGTGTCTTAATTGATAGTCCAACTCATTTATCAGGTATGTGTCAGTGTTTTAGTGTAAATCACAATTTTGTTTTACAACCAATGAAACCAACCAGGTATCCAAGCTGAAGTTGGTGGAGCTGGGTTTGGCGATGTAACTTAACAGATTATCCACCAAACTCTCACTTTACTGTTTATTGTTCCCCTAGTGTGTTATGAACTTGTTACGTCATAGGTAAAATAAGTGTTTCCAGTAAGTGTAAACCACTAAATAAGTCAATTCAATTGTAGTTTTAAGTTCTTGCTGACTTAGATGATTGGAGTTTATTACTTGTATCAAGAGGTATTTTACACTGACACAATTAATGTGCATTAAATCTACATCAGACTTGACTAAATAAATCCAATTTGTTGTATGTGAAAATAATAACTGCATTTAGGGTTATTACTAGTGCATATGTGATTTTTTTGTACTTTGCTTGATCAAGTTAACATGTTACAAATCTTTGACTTTGTTCCTTTATGATATTTAAGATATTACGGTGGTACCGAAATCGTAGACAAAATGGAAGCTTTGTGCAAGAAGCGTGCTCTCGCCTTATTTGGTCTTGATGAGTCTGAATGGGGTGTTAATGTTCAACCCTATAGTGGATCTCCGGCTAATTTCGCCATATATACGGGGTTGGTCGGTCTTCATGGTCGTATTATGGGATTGGACTTGCCAGATGGTGGACATCTTACTCATGGATACCAAGCTGCATCTGGTCGAAAGGTTGGTGTATTTCGTTGTCTCTAGCGTTATTTCTACTGGTTCTTTTCCCATTGGTGCATACTAGCATTACTCTTAATAAGGGAGTCACAGAAGTCTTTACGACAATTTTACTTATCATACAATTTAATCCAGTGAAACGGGTAATGTGGAGTATCTAGAAGTACTGATATCTAATGCTTTTAAATTTATTTGCAGTGTTTTTGGTTCATAATACAGTGAGATTATAGAGATCTAGTTCAAAGGATGCAATAAATTTTCATAAAATTTGTACCTAACAAAAATGTACTTCTAAACACAAGATAAAATTGCGAAGATATACATTTCGCAGAATAATTGAACTGTGCGATAGTTTCATGTATATGTAGTATGTTCTTCAAATCCCTATGATTAAACATTCCTGACCATTTAAATGTCTTGGTGTTTTTCAAGGCTCAAGTCGATCAAATAACTATTGGAACTCAAAAGAAACTATAATTCCTTTTTGTTTCATTCTGTAACTTCTCGTTGACATTAACTGACTAATAATTTTAAAATCAAACTCAGAGTATTACAAATCAGTCTTTAATAACTAAATATCCCGCTTCAACGATTGATAATACGACTTCAAGATTTTCTCAACGAATTTTACTGTTATCATGGTAGCAAACCTTCAGACAACATTATGATATCTACATATACGTCATACCGAATTTGTTTAGCAGTAAATGAAGTTCATCGTTTTGTCATATGATATACTCAAGATTGTTTGAAGATCATTGATGCTGAGTATCACTTAAACTTCTGCTGGGGTAAATCTACTGATAAGGTAAAAACTGTCTGATGTTTTGTAGCAGCTTTTTAAACTACTACCAGCTGACTTTAGAAAGTGAGATACATTTCCATGAGTGAGTAATACTTGATATCTAAACCGTATTCTCATGTCTCCTTGATGTTCGTCCACTCTTATCTAGATTTTTTCCGACTCAAGTTTCAGTGTTCTCATTTAGCTCAGCTTTGTCACGTTTATTTTCCTACCTTGTATGATATATTAATGACATAATTCCTAATTCTTAAACTTCCTTGAAAGTCAATAAATATATAGTTTGTCACGTTTAAATACGCAGTGACCTCTTAAAACAAAATGAAGTAGGAAATTGAGAAATAGGTTGGATTCAGGCTGTCGTCTTGAGTGGCAAAATACACAGTAAGCCACTAACAGAACAGTAAAACTGTATCATTTTTGCTAAGAAACCACTTACTAATCAAGACTAAGCTCTTGCACTTAGAATGTGTTTAGTAATAACAATCTAATAAGAGCGAATGTTAATCACATCTACTATAGTCTTAAATTATTTGAAAGGGAAGGTGTTAGGGGAAAAACAAAGTCCTATCTATTGGGCTGAACCATGTAGCTAGGTGGAGGCTACCTAATTCAGGTCCATGCGTTTACTCCGACCAATAGTTGATGTTGTGACAACATGAAATCGGTTACAACGGCAAAAATGCATTAATTTCTTTTTCTAAATCCTGATTTTCAGAGTTATTTTGTACCTATTATTCCGTGCATTAAATCAGTCTTTTCAAATTATACTTTTGGTGTTTAATTTTTTGTTACCGCTGATACTTCTACTAATTTGTTATTCATCTTGATAACTTCAACTTAATGTGCTGATACGATATTCAAACTTAGACCGATATATATATATATATATATATATATATATATATATATATATATATATATGTTAGGTTCTACATTGCTTGCAACAATTTAAGCATGCTTGAAATGCGGTTGGCTCCCTCCAAACGTAAAGCGTTACTTCAGGGTTGACTTGCGTCAACGCCTGAATTAATGATAGGGAGTAAAGTAGTTAAACCCATCAGCTGCTTCACTTATATTGGGAGTCTCGTCAGTGCTGATGATCTGGTGTCTCATGAAATCTCTGCACGAATTCAGAAGGCTGGATTGACTTTTGCCAATTCGCGTCATTGTGGCGTAGGCGAGATATCCGTATCCTAACCAAAGGACGAGTTTACTGCACAGCAGTTCTACTTTATGGATGTGAAACATGGCCATTAAGAATAGAGGATATTCGTAGGTCACTAGCATTCCGTCATAGGTGTATTCGAAGCATTGCTCGTGTATACAATGGAGTATACAATGCCTGAGTTAGGAATACGGAGCTAGGTAAAGATGGCAAGTTGATTGATGGGGTAGTCAATCTTCATTAACTGAGGTGTTTGGAACATGTGTTGTGTATGCCCAATCACCGTCTACCTCGACGGATAATATTTTCTGGTGTAAGAGTAGGCTGTAGGAAAGCTAGGGACGGCCTAACTAAAACATGGCATCAGTTCATGAAGTCACTGACAATTAAACTCAGCCATGCCAATAAGTGTAGACTACCTGGTTAGGGTTCATGTGATTGTCGTAACCAATGGTTAGAGACTTTGAATGACGTGGCTCAAAATCACTTGTAACGGTGCAAGTGCATCCGTTCTTTGTCCTTCCCTGAATTTTGAGATTCCGAATTCCTCATAACTCTTTTCGTGTTTTTTTCCCACTAATCTACATTTTCTTCTCGAATTGTATGTTCGATGCGTAGTGTTTCTTATTACCATTGATACTGTTACTACCTCTACAATTCTGGTATTCTGTCTGACAATTTCATCTATGTTAGCTAATGGGGTATGGTAACCTGAATCGATGTACATACGTACCGGGTTCTATGTTGTGACCAACTGCGTCTTACTGACTGATTATGCCTCAGCAAAAATTTTCTTTTGTTTCGTAAAGGTCACATAGACAAAGATCCACTTCAAAGACTTCAGGTCAATGTAGGGATCAACAATCTAGATTATAAGTATTTAGGATTAATATAATTAAGTATTATCAAATTGAAACCTCTGACTTGATAAATCTGGTGTCATTTTAGTTAACATAAGCTTAACGATTTTTTAATTTACATTATATTCTCAACGAAATAATAAAGCACCACATTTTAAAATCTGATCTCGGAGCTTGTTTTCTAAAGTTTTTCGTGATAATCTCATTTAGAATGAACATAAATGCTATACGACCAGATTACTCATTTTAGAAGAAATCACATCAAAATTTTTCAGTTTTCTCCATAAAATCTTTTCATTGTACCCAATTAACTCTGAACGTTTAGTGACCTTATAATACTAGTTAATAAAATCAGTAAACCTTCAATGTACAAAATTTTGACTGGAAATACTTACATGTCAACTGATAATAAGGGACTCTTTGGTGCACAAAAGAGGTACATTTTTTGAAACTTACAATATCCTTTCAGTTTTCTAGTGTTTAGTATTTCGTTTCATGGTATAAACTCCTTAGTATCAACAGCACTGTCTCATGTATCTTATAATCAGCTGTTATATTCAGTTACTTTTACGGAACCATTTTATTTTTTGTAAATATTTGTTATTATCAGGTTTCTGCTACATCGTTGTTCTTCGAGTCTGTTCCTTACAAAGTTGACCCTAAGACTGGATGGATAGATTATGAACGATTGGAGATTGTAGCAAGATCTTTTCGTCCTAAATTGATTGTTGCAGGAACTTCAGCATATGCTCGTCACTTGGATTATCCGAGATTTCGACAAATTGCAGATTCAGTTTCAGCTGTGTTACTTGCTGATATGGTAAATAATAAGATTGATTTTCAAATGTCAGTTAATCTTTTATAAATATTTAAGTGTTTGTTAGCACAGAAGCATTTATTGTGTCGCACAGGTAACCGATAACAATCTTCAACTCCTTTTTTTGTTGATATAAATAATGACATCTTTATTGTGATATTACCTAAAGGTTGTTTGTCTTTCAGTGGTAATGATAATAATCACAAAATCAAACTATGTCTTCCCGTGTTTTCTATCGAAGTATCGTGGTATATTTTTGATACAGCGAGTTAAAGAATATTTCCGCATATTTATTGATTAAGTTCTCTGCAATGAACTGTATAACTTATATATTTCACATAGACATTGATTATTAGTGAATTTATTTTAATGTGGTTTGGCCTAATTCTTCAAAATAATGCATCTAGATAGAACAGTTATTTTACACTATTATTCGAGTAGTAGTTTAGTAAGAACAAAATACAAGAAAAAAAAGAAATCTTGGAATTTGGATGACAAAAATAAGAACCATTGATTTTTATGTTGAGCGATAACTTGGTAATTTAATCAAATTCAAACTATACTTCTCTTCAGTTTGTTTAGTCAGACAGTATCACTGGCTGTTGTAACTTGACAAAATACTGATATAGCTACTTGTTGCATCCTGCAGACACAAATGATTACTTGCTACTCGTTATAACGGAACCAGCACTGGTACAGCTCAGTGCAAGAAAGAAGGCGAGATTACAGATAAAGATTTTATTATGCATCAACACTAAATTCGTGACAGATTCAACCGTTGACCAAAACCATGTCTGAATAACAGCCATTTGTCATTGACATATCCGCTTGATAGTCGAATTTGATTACATTAAACTAGGAAGTTCCTTGGCATAAATTAATCAGTGACTAAATACATGTATATATTCTATAACACTAACAGATTTAGTTGAATTGACTGACAAATTTAATTGTTGATTCTCATAATTAATTTCAACACTAACTATTGCACAAGAAGTGTGGTTCAAAACCAAGTGCCTTATTAACGAGTTAAATTAAATTTAGTAAACCTTGGTTAAATACTATTGGCATTTGATTTTAGGATTCTTAAAATAACATATTATTATTCCCTTGACGATAAATTTTCATGTGTTGGTTATTGTCCATGAGATATAGATTAAATGATATGACTGAGTTAAATATTTCCTCAAAATTTTTATATTTTTGGAGCTCTAGACCCTCATCTTCATTTTCTTTACCGTTTCACCAATAGTTCCTTTTTAAATTAACCAGATATTCACTGATTGCAGTATTGTGTATATTGTGTTTTTAGTCTTGATCTCACACTATTGCCTGTCTGCGTAATTCACTCATAAGTGGTATCTGAAGACGACAGAGAGCGAGGTACTTGAAAAAGAAATTAAGTTAGAGGTGGTCTTACTGACCTGAGAGCGTGACCGCAGTGCCCAAGGGACAACTGCTTGAGGTGAGTCACACACAACCTTTTCGTGTTAGTTCCATACTTGTTGGGACCTTACCGCTGGAGACGGAAATTCGTGGGATAAGGTGAGGTGTGTATTTTTAGGGTCGACCATTTCTAACCCCACCCTTCCTTGGAAAAGGCAGCATCTCCGTTTTGCTCGTTGTTTGAAGGAAACACCTTACTGCCGTCACACCTCTGTACAGTCAGCAGTACGACTTCGCCCTTGAACCCAGGCTTTGATGCATTTAGTTTCACCGTTCTTCAACCAACCTGTCTGGCATGGTAGGACATTGAGGAACGATTGTTCCAGTCAATATAGCTTGATTGGTTCATCAGGATAGACAAGCCCTACTACCACATCAAGGTAGCAGCAACGGTCGGCGACAGCCACCAGTGTAGCATATGGTTCAAATCGTCTGAGTTTTAGTTAACTCCGCATATTTATACGACGACATGGGGTCATGTGTTCAAACTTTAAAGTCTGAAAGTATGCATGCGTAAAAATTATTTTACCATCACATAACAAATGTAGATTATAGCGTAGTCGTTAGGTGTGTATGTACTCGCAGCTTTTCATCCTTATTAGTTTCATGTGAAAGTTGATTTCCATTATGCTTCCCATTTCATGTAGTGTATATGTTTATATGTAAAAAACTATATTTGAAATAATCTCAGCTATTGAAATTTAAATTATTCCAATGTTTCGTTCGGCAAACATGTCTGAACGAAACGTTTGTGTTATTTAAATTTCAATCGCTGAGATTATGTCAAATATATTTTTTCACATATAATAGCTTCCCTATATTCGACGCCCAACTTTCATAAAACCATTCGTTCTAATATTGACAAATATTCGTATAAAGTGAATATGTTTATTTCGGTATTCGTTTTGCTCGATTCATCAACACTATTCACTCTCGGTGTGATGATTAACTGTTAATGTTACAAATTAGATACCAGATTCCTTACTGATAACTCTTGTTTACAGAATAATCTATCTAACTCTCATCGCTTCATTCATTTTCAGTCTCATATTGGTGGTCTGGTTGCTGCAGGTCTTCACCCTTCTCCTTTCAAGTATGCTGATGTAGTGATGACCACTACTCATAAAACAATTCGTGGACCACGAGCTGCGATGATATTCTATAGAAAAACGGCCAGATCAAAAGAAAATGGTGTTGAAGTAAGTGTTTTGAAGTTCAATTCTACGTAAGTTATCATCCTAATAATGCTAATTAAGGATTACGGAAAAAACATTTACATTGTACATGGTTTAGACCTTTTGAGTACTTTTGTAAAGTTTATGAATTAGTAATGTATAACTTTTTCTATTGGCTCAGACCAGTCTGTCGATCAAATTGTTACAAATTGAATGACTCAATATTACACAAATATGATAATCATCCGCTTTCTATCCTTCTAAACGTTCACAGTTACCTTGTTACAAGCTTTATCCTTCTATCCCTTTTTACCTTTTTTTGTATATGCTTTGTGTTATGTCTTTAATTTGTCTGCTCATCAGTCTGTAATTAGCATGCAGAGAGAAAATTATTTCGATCTAGTTTATAGCCTTGAGAGGACAGGTGACTTGGTACAACCTTGAGACTTACAACGCGTGAGTTCGATTATGACTGAACAGCCTTAAGGGCAGAAAGAAGAAGACTATCCAGCCATTAACCTACGATCTGTAACCTGGTAGGCTGACAAGCGGAGAGGGAATAGACGTTTTAGCTGAAATTATTCTCTGATATACTCTTCATTCGAACTAACTTAAAAAGGTGTATGATTAAATATATGACTAACATGACTTCGACACAAGGAAGGAGGAAAATACAGTTATGTCTAAACTAGGACATTAGATTAGAAAAAATGGACTACAAGGGTCACGTTTAAATTAAAGTAATTTCTTAACAGAAAAGAACATGATAGTGAATAATTTATTAAAGAAAAACTTACGATTTGCAGAAGCAAGTCGACACAAAACTAAATACTGGTTTTTATAGACTTCGAACTAAGCGAGATAACATCCCGAAAATAGTTTCCGTTGTGTGCCGTTAGTCCTTTATTGCCATCTTCACTTTTACCCCTACCCTTATCTCTGTTGAAATTTCTGTCCTGTCTACACAGTCTCAAGCTCCCGAATGATCTATTTTATGAATATTGTCATGGATTATAAAGTCTGATATAGCTTTTATGAAGGCTTGTGTGCTGTATTTCTTGGATCTGTAATCAAGATTTGTAAAGTATTACAGTTTGTTATCCATCTATCATGTCAAAAAAGTTTATTTTACGTAAGCTTATTCAGAGACCCTGTGATATCAAAATCCTGTTTTTCTAACATATGTCGCGAGGGCATCAGTAATCGATTAGATCTTTATATAATCATATAATCATTTATGTTGTTAGATCATAAAGTGGGAAGAAACTGGAGCGGGAGTTATACCTTTTCACAATTTCCGTCCACGTATGGATGGATTCCAACCTGAATGGAATTAATGACTTCTACCTTCAGTTAAATGATCTCAAGAAGACTCATTCGACAGACAGTGTCGTAATAACTGCAGGTTGAACGCATATATCGGGCAGCTATGTGTTGAGGAAAGACATTTGAATGACTGATACTTATATGTTGGTTACAGGTCAAACGGTAATTCTCTTCTGTGGTACACAACTTGTTTCTGGCCATCTCCAACTTCCTGCACATACAATCCTATCCATTCTGGTAAATCGCGGATTCGATATGCTTAGATCCTCACGTTAGAAAATTTTTTAAAGTTTACAGAAAGACTGAGCAACGTGATAGTCAAAGCGTGTTAACCACTTTAAAACAGCACCGCCATGTAGTAATTCCTGGGATTTGTTTTAACTTATTTCGAGTCGTTAGTATCAATGAAACGATCTATAAAGTCGATGACATACCAATTGGTAACCTCTAAAAGCGTATTAAACTCTGGAAAGAGCACTTTGTAAAACTGCCCAACTGATCTTTTACTCTAGCAACGTCAATCAGATTGTTCTGTCTTCTTTTGCCCGTGAATACTGATTGGCCTGATTAAGTAGTGGTCCATAAGGTTTCGTTTTAAGAAGTGAGATAAATTTTAGTCCGGAAACTGACTAGTTTGTTTTGAAAGGTTTGCGGACTGGAGTGTATTCCATCATCGTGGAATATAGCGATCTTTGTTCTTATCTTTAAAAAGGGCTTTTGTAAATTACTCAACAATTATTGGGATATAATTTCCATCTCAATGGCTTCTGACTTATGAGGATCAGATTTAGCAAAACCCTTGAAGAACTGATTCGTGAGTAGCTGGTTGGTTTTCGTTCAAACTATATCCTGAATCTACTGAATGCTGGAACACCGCTACATCTGCTAAAGTGCAACAATCATTGTATTCCTTAATATCGGGACCACCTTCGATTCTTAGGACAGACTGACTTCTGGGATTGTTTGTTGAAGAACGGTGTGGTTGACGAATTCATTGACATCTTGAAAGCTATATATGTAAAAACATCAAACACTATGCGTACATCCGTTTGTCTTCTTTGCCACAATCTAACAGTAGAGCTAAGTGGGTTGTCGGGTTTCGCCATTCTTCTCTAACTTTGCCATCGATAATATTCTGGAAAGAGCTCTAAAGAAAGTAAGTGGTAGTGTGGATCTGTTGCACAAAGAAAGACTTCTCGACAGGAATTACATGTATAAAATTATCTTACTGTGCGACAATACATAGTTGTTTCAAACCACAATTAGCAAGTCAGCAGTTAGGGTCTGTTGGCATATCACGTATTTTCCACCATCTGAATGCGAAATACCTTTGTAAGATTGACTTTAGCATGTACCCACCCACGTTCTTTGGTGAACCATCAAGAAGTTCTTTTATCTGGGTAGTTTATGAGTAATAGTGTTGGAGTGACAAATGAGATTGATCTACATATGGTGAAAACCAAAGCTGTCCTATGCCAATCTTGGCCCATCATAATGCTGGCCTAGCCATAAAAAATCGGGATTGTAGCGCGTCGATAAGAGCAATTTCACCCCACGCTTGGGAAACCTGACTTCCGAGTTAAGAATGCTTTCCAACGGTGTGTTCTATCATCATTGTCTTTGAAGAATTGCAGCACCATATTTGTATTAACAACTTATTGTCGGGCACAACGACAGCGATTCAATTGGTCCTCACTATCTTAAAGCATCAGTCTTGGTGGCTCGTGCATGTCGTTCCAGTGACCCATATTGTATATTGACTGGCATCTACCTGTCCACACCGGTGAAAGTTTTGGAAATGGTCAACTCACTGTCTTGGAACACTATCAGGTATGGCTTAAAATAAAAGTAATTATTATCCTGCCGTAATTTTCTATCACTTAATGGTGAGACAATCTTCCCTGACTAAAAGAAGTTTATAGTGGATACATTTTCGATTGAACTGTCTCTTTAATATGATTTCTGTTCATTTATTTATTGATTTGGTACTTTAATATATTGAATTTTCTGTTTTACTTAGACACCTAGTCTTTCGGAAAAGTAATTAATCCGGGATATGTTGAATTCATGATGGGGGGGGCTATTTTTAAAATTAAGCGGTTATCACCATCATCAAATGAATATTCTGATCATTTTAAAGGTCCCTATCCAGTTTGTATTCACCTATTTTTTAAAATTTTCCCTAATTTTATTTTGTGGTAAAATCTCCAAACTTGTTTTGTCACTTCTTTACCCATTTAGAATGGATGTCACACTGATCCTACTTCAACAGACTTTGAACGTCGTATTAATGAAGCAGTCTTTCCAGGTTTACAGGGTGGTCCTCACAATAACACTATTGCAGCTATAGCTGTTTGTTTAAAAGAAGCTGCATCATCTGAATACAAAGTTTATCAAGAGCAAGTGCTCAAAAATATGAAACAACTTTGCAAATCATTAAAAGCTTATGGTTATGAGGTAAATAATAATGAGCTCTTAATGATCGTCTCCATTTTGTTGAAAGTGTGTAAAATACTGCTGATGAAATTTAGTAACTTAGACAAGATTATAAATGAATAATATATTCGTAATATCTCGATGAGTAGAAAAATTAGATTTTCCAACGTTTCGTGACTTAGTGTAAACCACTTCTTCAGAGAATGAATCAAGTTTAAACTTGAATTAATTTTGGTTTGATTATTTCTTTATTCTCTGAAGGGGTGGCTTACACTAAGTCACGAAACGTCAAAATTTAATTTTCCTACTCATTGGGATATTACAAATATTTATTTATAACAATCTACCCAATGCTCAGTTTATTCGAAATTATCAAATCAAACCTTAGTAATGATACCTATTAGACAAGATTGTTTACCATGTCAATATTTTTATTTCTTTACCGTAAATTTCTTTATAGCTTGTGACTGGAGGTAGTGATACACACTTATGCTTGATGGATCTTCGCCCATTAAAAATAGATGGTGCTCGTGCTGAGAAAGTTTTAGAATTAGTTCGTATCTATGCAAACAAGAACACTTGTCCTGGTGATGTTAGTGCTTTGAGGTAAATATTTGCCGTCTTATAAAATGAAAACTACTGTTTTTTAAGTGCATTTATTCCTATACATCTGTTTGAAGTAAAGCAATGGGTTGGTATGTAAAAACACTCAACTCCCAATTAATAGATATCAGGTTTGAACCTTGAACCACTAATTTAATTCTTAGTAACCGGCTGGTATCACTGATCGGCACACTCGTTCGAAGTTGAGTGCATTAACCTGCGCTTATCATACAAGTTATATCAAATTTTACTTAATACCTACTAATACAACAGATGTGATGGAGATTTATTTGGACAGTTGATGGTTACATTTATTCATAAATGGAACTTATTCACTTGCAGTTGTAATCTGTTAGACGCGGCATGATAAAAATTATATTAAATCTTAATATTTGGAACAAATTTAGCAGTTGTTGTAACAATAATATTATAAACACTAAAGGCAACTACTTTGTGAATAGTTAATGATCCGTTTCAGTTAAATGAGTGTAGTGTGAGTCTCATTCATTTCATTTTTCTGAAGGTCGCTTCAGATTCGCATTGGGAACACCTAAATTAAACTAAATTTTCAGGAACTAAAACAGTTTCTTAATATTTTTTAAGTTATAAGATGATATTTGCTTACTAGATGTTGGATAGAGTAATGGTTTGTAATTCCACGTTTTTTCCTACTTAATTTAGACCTGGTGGCTTACGCTTTGGAAGTGCTGCGTTAACATCACGAAATTTTCGTGAAGAAGATTTCGCTAAAGTTTCAGAATTCATACATGTTGGAATTCAAATAGCTGTTAAAGCTAATGAACTTGCTAACAGCAAACTATTAAAGGATTACGAAGTACGGTTTTTCCAGTTTATTATTATTATTAATTCTTTCAACACAAAGATATTGATACTAAAGGGCACAAAAATATATATGGACCACACAATAAGAAATGGAATTGTAAAGAGATAGAGAAAGGAATGTATGATAAATGGAAAGATACCGTAAATGAATCAAAATGAGTAAATAGTTAAAATTAATGGAGAAACAGTTCATCTAAGAAAGTCACAACTTAGAACCTGGTACGTATGTACATCGGTTCAGGTTCCCATACCCTATTATCTAACAGAGATGAAATTGTCAGGCAGAATCCCAAAATAGTAGAGGTAGTAACAGTGTAGTAAACGAGAACACATGTGGGAACAGTCGAATGTATTTGACCACAAAATTACAGAATCTTAGTAAAATGCAGATTGGGCCAAAACCGGCCTAGGTTGGAATAGGCCTCCATCTTTCACTATACATAAACTGACTTCATCAGTCATGCCACCACCAGCTCTTATATAGCTACTTAAGTACACGAACTTCTTACTGCTCATTATCAAGAGTGAGATCAGATAGAAGCCTCTGTCAGTCTTATAAAAGTATTTTGCACTTAGAAGGTGCAAAACATTCTATCCCTACAGATGCAGATTAAGTGGATATTGTGTGGGTTAAGTCTCATCGCACGTTAAGGCAATATCATCCTCACATCCAAGATCGAGTCTTTCTACAGGTAATCATAGGTGTCCACATTACCATCACCTACTTTAACCAGAGTTGTTTTCAGAATTTAATCATTACCAAAATTGTCGAGGAATGTCGTGGTTGAGCGAATCTCCCTGACTCCATTGGGCATGTGGGACAATAGAGACAGGGGGTCGTTGTGTCGAAGACATCAATTTTCTTGAACATACTCTTCTTCAACACACAGTTCCAGAGAACAATCTTGTCCAACGAACCAATCGTGACCTTGATGTCGAAAAACATAACGAAAGTTCTGTAATCAGTATGGCACTGTTCTAACATTTGGGGAAGGACAAAGATTTTAATCAATATATCGACCATAATTAAAACTGACGTGTTCCTCGTGAATCAATCATTCATGGGTTTTGAGCTATCTATGAAGTGTGCCGGAAGTCAACAGTTTGGACACAGTTAGAAGTAGAGTTATCCCCCGATAGTTGTTGCATAGTTGACACAAAACGTTATTGAAGATGGGAACGACTATCGCCTCATTCCAAGATGTTAGAACACCGATTCTCAAACGTTTCCAAATAACTTAGTTCCTTAACTAAAAGTTATCCACTATCCTTAAATAGATCTGAGGCGTCATCGTCCCTTGGTTGATTTATAACTCTTCAAGAGTTGAAGTTCTTTGCGGATTTCATCTCGTTAGGTTAACGAAAATTTATCTTTTGTCATACCGATTGCTTCTCACTTCAAGAAAATTTTCTAATATAACAACGCATAATTGACTGTTAATGGGGATCTAATCGATCAGTGCTTTCTCAGCTCTAGTGCTTAGTGTGACGCCATCATTAGAAAAACTGGACGGAGATGTCACATGGTCTCGAATAAACGTACGTGAAACAAGCTTTTAGACTAGACAAATGGAGAGTATATGAGTAGTGCTTCATTAGAGTCTTGATCATGGGTCTCGGATGGATAACAAAGGTTGATATTAAGATTTTTCAAAGACGTAGAGCCAGTTTGAATAACACATTTGGTTTAAGAAAGGCTTGTTCAGAATTCATATACGATGGTAGCGTTCAACTTTCGAACAGTCGGTAACTTGAGATGGTTTAGATACAATAAAATTCCCAGCATAAGCGAGCTGTTGTATGAGTTGAGAAATAAAAGAATATACGAAATGAGAATAAAAGGGAGTAGACAAGTGATGCCATGTAAAATAAAAACGAATGTGACCAAATAGTTGTGAATGTAATTTGTCAGAATGCGGATTGAAGTGAGAATGATATTTTCCAGTTGTGATTTATGTGTATGCTAAGATACTGCCCAGGTGGTTTTCGTAGGGGCCGCTCTACGAGTCTTCGATTTAGAGGTCCAATCCACAAGACATTTGAGCGACATTAAGTGATGCAGTCGTATGGTAACCGGTGATCAACAATGGGTTCATCCGTCATTTGTTCCCACAGTAACCCGGAGCTCATGTGCACCATTGGTACTGGTTTGGAATCAGGGTTTTCCAACTTCCCTAAGTGGACTCTGTGCGTGTACCAGTTCTCAGTTGTGCTGTGAAACTAATGCGTTAATTTTGTCTCTTTTTTTCTAAGTATATGCAATGAGTAGAGCTCTTTTTAAAAATGTTTCTTAAGATACTAAACGATTATTCAAAACCAAGGGATATTTTAGCTAACAGTTGTTCACAATAACTTCATCGCCAGGCTGTACAGTTGTATATTTATACCTCGTGTTTTCATGTGGTCACTACCTAGCAAATGAGAATCGCCCTAGAAATAGAATTTCTGACGCTAATGCAAAGCGGACTATTTCAACATGCAGCATTGCTTAATTCACATATTTATGTATACCTTATTTTGATCATTATAATATAGGTTATGAATTTTTAACAAGGAGTAGGTTAACAAAGCTACTGAAAACAACCGTTCGCTCAGATATTTATTGTTTTTGCTTCGTGCTTATGAATCAAAAAACTTGGTTTGATCAAATATTTCTCTAGAATTTGGTTTATAAAAAGTAATAGTTTAGTTTACTTATGACTGTGACGTCATGAAAATGCACTGTAAATATTTTTATGTAGTTTTTTTTACAATCACTGAGTAAGAGTGCGTATTTTATTAAATGGGTCAACTACCAAACTATATCATATGATTGATCATAGAATTATCCACACTTAAGTGAGTGCTAACCCATGCTGTTTAAACAATATTTGGTTAATGCACCAGTGTGAAATAAACTGTCTGCATGTGGTTTGGCATAAATTATGTATTAACAATGGTCAAGCGAACTATTTTGATTCTCCATTATGCCTAGTTTTCATGAAATCTCCATCTAAGGGTACGAAGTTCTGTGATGCGCACGTAGAAGAGAGCGGCATCTAGTTGAATAAGTTACTTTTTCTTGGTTGTAACATGTTTCAGCGTAGATAAATAAAAATAAAATCCATTATCTGTTCATCAAATTCTCAAGTTTATAACGTTACTCAGATATGTGTATTTACTATAGCTAGTTTCATTTCTTTCTAACTAGGTTGTTGTTGAAACAAATGTTGAAGTACGCTCAATGATTGAAAAGTTGAGGCTTGAAATTGAGGAATTTGCTTCAAAATACCCTCTACCTGGACTAGATTTTTAAAAATTATGAAATGTACTAGGTTTTGATATTTCTTAATAACTAAATTTTATGATGTATAAAGTTGTTTTGTCGTCCTAATTTTGGTGAGACAATCATACAAATTTTTTTATAATATTAGCTCAGCGCATCCATAAGATTTTCTTCAATCTTCCACGCACTTAGTTGTATCTGATATTTTCAGAGTTTTGTATAGTTTTAATGCGGCGTGTGTGTTGTAGCTACAAATCTGTCATTTCAGTATTTAGATACACTTATAATATAATAATTAGGTTGATATGATAAGACTATTGGGCTACGCTTATTCTGAGTAACCGGTAGATAAGTCCAATATTCATCATACAATTTGAATTTTCTAGTTAGTATACGAAACTGGAAACCATACTTTTCATAGTTAAGCGCGGTTTACACTGTTTAGTTAGTAGATTCCATGAATACAAATAGTAAGTTGGGATCATTTACAATCCAGGAGAAGTGGATTTATCATGTGATAATTCCCAACATCTCTGTATAGATTGTAATCGACTTACGTAATTTTTACATTTAGGGTTTTGGTTGTAAATACATGAAACTGTGATCCAAAATCAACCACATTTCGCTAGGGAGTTAAGGATACACCTTTAATATGAATTACTGTCTCTACCATTATCACTCCGAATCAATAGATTTCGTGATAGATATGTAAAAACTCAGACCATAAACTACGTGTCGAGTTTTAATCAAAACAGCAGTTCATCCTCAGCGTATTCAAACACTAGTTGTATCACTGATTGTGGCTTAAAAGCAAAATAAGTACCTTCGGTTTAAATTGTAGTCCCACTGACTGAAGTCCAGAAGAGTTCTATGTTAAGGTTTCTGATTCATCAGATGAGGTTCTTGAGTAGTAGGTTTAATGAATCTCTCTGTAATCCGGTTTACTGAATAAATAATGCTCAGACAACTGGTCTTTGACCAACTTGCCACCCTACGACAATGGCGTTCACAAACAATATTCCTGTTACCTATATCGTTCGAAAGTTTTGTTTATGAAAGAAAACCACTAGACTTTTAATATACAATTGTGACAATTTTCAGTATTATAACCAGATATTTTGTGTCGGGATCTCAACGTATACGTCGGGACGATTACAAGGCATTTATTTTCACAAGTAAATGAATATTACTTTACACTAATGAAATTGTTCAACAATATACAAAGGAACAAGTTTAACTAAAGGCAGTCAACTTTTAAGAAAATACATCACATACAATAAAGGTAAAAAGGCTAGTCGACATATTTGAACTAGAACGGGTTAGCATCAAGTTAACCACATTCTCTAAGCAGAGATTGATGTGGAAACTGTCATAAGGCCAGAAGAAGCTCAAATATGGTACGACCTTGCGCTTTTATCAGTAAAGAAAATTAAAGCCAGTAGTATGCATTAGATACTACATAGGTGGTCCAACGGATTGTATTGTCTTTGTCGAATCTCGAAGTTTTGCGTGACTGTCAATTATGTGAAGAAGTTCTTCTGGTTGAGGGATACGGTTTGTGTACAATTTCGACCAGATTGGGATATCTGAAAATCAAATCAACACAACTGGACTTTCAGTAGGAAAAACGGAATTTGATTATATATTTAGCTAGAATGCTTTTAGTCCCTTTAAATACGTGCAAAAAGAATCATCGTCAATGAATGTCACCTCTGAATGCTGAAAATTAGCATTACAATCCCTTAACCAGTTGAAAGATTTCTTAAATGACTAACTATTCATCTCGTATGAAAAATGTGAAATTGAATAGAATTCAGGTATTTGACTAGTGATACGGGGTTTTCCGAGTTATTATTTTCAAAACGCCAGTGAAATTTCTTAAACATCTTGTTTTCGGGAAGTGGTAACCAGAAAACAATCAACCAAAGAAGGAAAATATCATAACTTAACTTCTCAGTATAATTTTTGAAATGCTAATGTTACGAGAAAAGTTAATAAAGGATATGTAACACTGAGTGAATATACAAATATACGAAGATAATTATCAGAAGTTGACACTGAAGCTTATGATTGGATTTGGATAGAACAAGATTCTTTTAATCAAGTTATCGGTGCTTTATAATCCTGGTTAAGAATACAACACGTTCTAGCTGGCGATTTATAAGATTAGGTCGCATTGCAGGATAACATTTTGATTAGTGATATTCACTGACGTTTTAGTGAACATTAGGATGTAGGAGACATTAAAAAGGAGGGATGTATTTGTAAAATCTTAGAGAATGAATTTGAAGCAAATCCAACGATTTTGCAAATACATTGTTCATTTTAAATGTCTCACATCAACTCGGCGCCCAAATACTGTGCGACTATTTGATCAAATTCAGACGAAATTACTTGTATATGCATAAGGTATGTCATTGATATAAATCATTAGGAATTCTCTTCAAGTAAATAAGAGCGAATATATTGTGGGTCGGCTTTGATTATGAAAATAACCGTAGGAAGTAAGAATGATTATATGAGGACAGAAGTACTAGTGATAATAATAAGAAATAGTCGGATAAATTAAAGATATCCTTTGAAAGTGAGAAGTACGTCAAAATGTGGGAAAATAAACATTAAAACAATGATCATTGAAGGTATCACTACCACGGTTTGACTTCGTACTTTCGAATAAATTTAGCATTGCGTAGATTGTTATAGATAAATAATATATCTGTAGTATCCCAGTGAGTGGAAAAATGAGATTTTCTGACGTTTCGTGACAGTGTAATTCGAATCGAAATTGATTTGGTTACTTTTTCTCTGAAGAAGCAGCTTACACTGAGTTACGAAACGCCGGATAATCTTTTGTTTTTATTCATCGGGAAGTTGCGCAACACTGAAAAAGCTGTGTTAAAAACCAAAGCAGGGCATTATGTAATGATGGTAAATCAGTTGATGAGGTTGTCAATCTTCATCGACTGAGATGGCTGTGCCATGTTACGTATGCCTGAACACTGATTACCACGATGCGCAATGCAAACCGGTGTTGGGGATGGTTGGAAGAAAGTTAGGGGCGGTCAAACCAAAACGTGGCATCGGTTCTCTAAGTCACTAACTTTTAGTTTGAGCCATGTTGGAAGATGCAGACTACTTGGTTGGGGTCCGCGTGACTATCGTAACCAATGGTTGTAGACTCTTGGTGACATGGCTCAGAATCAATCACAGTGATGTCGGTGTATACACTCCCTGTCTTCCCTCACACCGCGAGATTAAGATCGCTTCCTATCTTTTTTCTACGAACTCATTCTTTCTTCCTGTACTATATCCTTATATAGAATCTTTCTTTTATATAATACTACCATTGAATTAACTACTATGAATTCGCTGTCCATCTTGTTGTGTTAATGAGATATGGCAACTTGGACCGATGCATATATGTGCCTTGTCCTACGTTGTAGCTGACTGACCGACTGATTTGTAGATTGTATCCAAATGTATGAACTTATGTGTAGTTGTTAGGTCGAATAAGGATATTCCTACTGCTTCACAAGTGAAACAATGAAAAATACTGTGTCAGAGTTTAGAAACACTTTCTAAGACAAGAAATGATATCGTTAAATAAGGTATTGGTTTCGTCTCAATATTTTTTCTATGTACTCTCAGAAATTTCTCTTTTTGAAGACCTTGTCTACATTCAGGTTACTCCTTTACTACTGAATCCAATGAAATACATATTACTTACAACTTGACAATTTTTCCCGAATTTAATTCTCCCATTTCGACATAGCAAATATTAAGACCCAAGACAAATTTTTTAAAAAAAACCAGTAGGTGCGGTCAGAAATGTGCAATTGACTTGCAAAAGTATTCTGATACTCACCATCTAAGTATATTTCGAAAGCGCCTGTAGATAGCAACTGTCCTTCAATAATATTTCCAAGTAGAAACGTCATCAGACAGAAAGAAACCTGAAGACAAATAAATTGATGTTGAACTGTATTTTTTGTGAAACCGAACAATAATAGATATATTTTAATGCATAAAACATTAACAAGTGTTTCTATTTCATATGAACGTTTGATCAACAATTCACTTGTACATTAGACGACTGAAAATCAGGTTGACAGTACATCAAACCAAAATGTAATCGTAAAAAGATGCTGAGTGTAAACAGTTATTCAAAATCATAATCATGTCTGTCGATCTCACTTTCCGAACTATATATCCAAATTTATTGAGTTGACTGATCGTACCAGTAAGTACGTAAGTTAAAAAAACATAATAAACTGGAGCTCTTAATACGCTATTAATTATTGTGAAGTGTATATCACTTGTGACACAAGTTGAATGCGTTACAAACACATGGATAAGGATTATTTTCCAAATTACTTTCAGACTACGGTACAAGTACGGCATGCGCAGCTCGTAGTGTAGAATCCATTCAGAGTGATAATAGAAGCCGCAAACAGAACGTGATCTCATGTCACTAAAAAAATACCAATGGGTCCTAAAAAAAAGCGCAGCGGGTTTTAGCTATTCATTTACAGTTTAATTTATTTGCACAGTACAGAGTACAATAGTTTTTACCTTCATAAAAATCTAAGACTGTGAGGGAGTTAAGTCAGCCAAGCATGCTATATACAAAAAACATGGACTTAAGCTACTTTTAACTCACTTTATTTTGCATGGCATATGAGACAAAGTTAGGAGTAGGGTAACCAAGATATCCATAGGGGTCGAAATTAAACACAGTCATAAGAATAACGGAATATTTGAGGAATTGTAAGGATTTTGCCAAGTGAGCTCGCCAGGCGGGTGGAGGATACGTATCGCCTTCTATAATAAAATATGGATATTTTTGTAAGACGATCCGTGACATCTCCTCGAACACCCGCCGATATCCTCAGGAAACGCTAAGGAGATTAAGATGAAAATTATCAGACTTACCAAAACATGAACTGAAGTGTAGGAAGTGGATTTGTTGGTTTCTTTAGAGTTGGTATGATTTTCTCTGAATTGCTGCTGCTTTTTAATCCCCAGAAATCAAACCAGGTTAAGATGGCGCAACCGAAAAAAACCACAGTCCACATTCCTGTATTGGCCATAACTAGTATAAATTTGAAAAATATCAACAGTTTAGCTTTGACGAGGATCATTTATACTAAGTTTTCTGTGCAATTCATACTTGAATATCTTTCGTATATAATGGCGAAGTATACGAATAAATATCCTTAGTTTTATTGATTCAACTTACCCTCGGTAAACAAATGTGCAGAATGGCTGAGTAACTACAAAGCATGTGATAAATACCCCAAATCAGTCCGTCCACAAACTTAATCAAAAGACCTTTCTTTTAACCCTGATAAGTTGCGAATTTATAAGATATTGTCTAGAATAGGGGTCAATGGTGACCTGTTGTATTTTTTCACAATAATTAAGATATTTCGTTATTAAGGACACATTTTGGGTCTTTTTTGGCCAACATTTTAAAGTCTACTGTAATAAATATATTTTGCAATCAATAATTAACGCGATGCAAATCCTCAAGTCAAATATTTGATTGATGGACTTCTCTTAGCAGTAAAGGACGTTAGCTAAATCCATGAGGCATTACTACAGCTCACCAGATATGTAGTTATGACTGAATAAACGTTATAATCACTGTCTAGAAGAGAAAATTGTAACCAGTTTTAATAGCTGCTATCCTATAGGGTAGAAAACTACGTATATCACAACATGCATCCTATAACACCTTGAACTACTAACCTCGCGACCAGAATATGATGTTGGTCAAAAGCGATATAGTCAACAGTGACTTTAAGTTTAATCAACACCAATAACCTTGCTAGAAGTTGATTAAATCCCTGTACCACTAAAGCCGCCAAAACCAAAACGTAGAACAACCTTCAGTACAAAATTCAATAAACTAAAGATCAGCTAAAGTAAAATAAGATAACTTATCATAGATATTTAATCTACATTTCATTTGTTTTATAATTTGAATGTTGGACATTTGGAAATTTTCGTGTATGTGTTTCGTTGTGATGGCGAATCCGTTTGTTAAGAAACTAGCTGAAATTGGTAGCTTTAAATGTCACTACTGGTTAAACGTCCCTGGCAGATATAGTACACGTTCTCTGTACAGATCGGTGGGAAGCAGTTCTACTCCTCTATATAGCTTCTTTAGTAACATTATATCCTTCTTCCTCTACTTGCTCTCTAACATACTTTTCGCCCGTCCATCAACACTGCAGGGCCAGCGAAATGCCACAAAGTCCTAGACAAATCATCCGGCAGTCGGGTCATTGAATATCGAGCAAATCATCGATCCTTGTCAAGGTCAAAGACAACCAACGGGCATCAGTTAGTCATATGCAATGGACTGGCCCATGCGGCAAAGGTCTCACTTTCGCTTGTATCTACTTTAACCAATAATAATAATAACGTCCTCTGTGTCGTACAGTCTTCAAAGCATCTATGGTACCCTGAAACATCAATGGGGTAGTCTACGTAAGGTGCTGACCACGAGGTGTGACTTTGGCGTTAGCTAGTTTGTCGCACCATTCACGTCTAACTCGAGTAGGCCTCCAATCATTTCCGACATAGATGATCTACGTTGGTGATCTACAGTCGTTTTTAGTCAGTTATAGAATTCTCAATTAAATATAGGACATAACGCTCAAAGAAAAGAATGAACTATCAGCCTTCATAAAGTCTTTGAATAATGGATAAACCCATGGATATAAATAACTCCTCAAAATGAATAGTTTCACAGACAGTTGGCACTGGTGGTAACCTTGTCAGTTCGAATAAACACCGAATGTGTAGATAAGCTCGGTGAAGCGTCCGCTCTATATAGTTTCATTTTGATGTGGAGACGTTTTCCTATTGGAGTTAGCTAGCTGAAACGTCTCACTTAATAGTGATTCCATGTACAACTAGCTACATATTTTACCAGCCATCACCTACTACTTCTTTATTTGTCCTATGGTTCTTCATTAGGGCAGGCAGCGTACAAGTTCTTGTCAAACTTTATAAAGCCTAACTACAGCGTAGTGTGCAACTTGTGCAATGCTGAGTGGTGAAATGAAATATTATAGTGATTTATCACTTTATTCATATCTTAACAGGTCATTTAAAAATCTTGGTTCAAAGCTACATCTAAGTAGGCATAATTTACGGTTAAGGCATGAGGCATTATGCAAAAAGCACGTACTAGCTTTGTTGTGATAAAAATTTCCAAACACTGAAATCGTTTTGAGGAGTGATAGTAATGACACCTCTTGGTCGCTTCGACTATAAAATGGTATTTCATATTCGATGATACGTTTGGAGATTATATTGAAGATCTACTCCCGATGATTTGTGTTAAACACTAACCAATATAGTATTCTTCTAGATTCCTGAAAGGTCAGAATATGAAACAAACTTTTCTATATTCGAAAATCACACCCGATCCAGACGTAGTTAAATAGAACTAGTTATTTCAATTATTGATGAACAAGGTTTGAAGTTTACATCCTATGTTTTCGCAAGCGGATAGGATTCTAGCCTGTTGTTGTGGCAATTACATTGTCATTTAGATGGCTTTTCAGGATAAGCAGGCTCTTCCATCCAAAGTTTAGAGTTTGTTTGTCGTTTGTTGATTTATCTCGAAACTCTTCGTGGTGAAACACGTGTGATTTTATTAGCTCAGTTACATACGACAATGAACGTGTCTTTAAATTCTACAAATTGTAAATTTTCAGTTTTGCTTGTATGCATTAGGTGTGGTAGGGAATATTGTATATAATTACTTAATTGTTGAACTCTTCAGCACGTTTTTTGCACACTTTCTTCGTTTGGAACATAATCTCTAAATATCTCATGTATTCCGTTTTGTTAAATTGCATCGTCAACTGTTTTTATTCTCTGCTATTGCGCTTAGAAAATACTCATGATTAAGTAAATTTATTGTAATAATTAGAAGTAATTAATTTCAGCATGTGAACTAGTAATTTCCAGGAGTGTTCATTTCCTACTCCAGTCGTCACAAATGAATCGATATTTAAGTTAAAGGTAAATATGTCAGCGGATATACAGGTAATGAATTTGGAATTCCAATCAAATACGGGATAATCCACAAACACCAAAAATATTCATATACGACTGATTATTTTTAGTCTATTTCAAGTTTCACGGCTTGCTTTACACTTCACTTTTTTCAGTTCTTGAATATTCTAAAAACTTTTGAAAAAGTAAAAATTGAACGGATGTAGTAATTTAGTTTATACTTTGATCACAGCTTGGTGTATTTCTTTAAATAATTAGTTTTGAGACTATAATTTATGAACGACCTTTGAGCGGCGCTAGAGTGACCTTGAGAGTGTCCAGCAGGACTAAATGAGAGTTATAAACCAGTGTGAGGAATGAGAATAATGATTTACAGTTGATAGCTAAGGTTAGCAATTAAATTTAAAGTTTTCATCACGAACTGACATAATCTATAATGCCAAAAATCTATTTAACCAAATGAATGAGGTAATTTCACGCCAAAACCCGAAACCTGTTACCTGATTAGTCAGTCCATAAATTAAAGTCTCACCCATTTATACGCTTACGATTTTTATGTCTTTTTTGTACTATTCATTTCTGTTTTTGTTTTATTTTTAGTAACATTACATAATCAACTATCAGCGAGAAAATCTCGACTTCAGAAAAATAAGATTTTAAATTTATTTTTAAAATTCTCTGCCCAATTCAAACGTATCTTACGGAAGTCCCAATTACTTTTATTGGTTGGTTATTTTAATTAAACTCTTATTGTCTAGAAATAAAACACGAATATTCAAGTACATTGCATACATATACAAAATAATCATATAAAAACACGTAAATCTTCACAAAATAGAAATATTAATGGTGAGGTTCACTTAACATCTTCAATAAAAGGTAGTTAATTAAACATCAATTTATAGATTAAAAAACCAATTGCTTGTTATGTAAGAAGAAGACAGTAAAAGAAACGATAGAAGAATAATTCACAAAGAATATTCTTCTAGAATAGTATACAATACCGGAGATTAAAAGAAAAGAAACTATGTTAAGCACTTACATATCAGTATAATGAATGATATGGAACAATGTTCAAGTACAATAAGTACCTTGAAGAAGTACATAAAAGTAAATTCATTGCAAAAAAAAAACTTTTTATTTTAGAATAAACTTAGATATTAACTTGTTTTTAGAAAAACAAAATAATGTGAATAAATTGTTTGTTTCGTTTAAAAAAAAAACGTTTAAAAGAAAAAAAATATGATCGGAACACTAAAGAGAAAGCACTGGTAAACCTTTATGTATAATTTACATCATTAATCATTACAATTTCTATTATTTACATTCATTGTTAATTTGATGATTGATTATTGTATACACTAAAAATTAAATAATAGAAAAGCATATTAACTGTAAATTATCATTATAATTACACAAGTATCAGTATTATGTAATTATTGTATTTGAAGCTTATACAAATCATTGTGAATTATATTGACTACAATGTCTTAGATCTTTTTTTTTCTAATTGTAATCTCAGTATATAACTAAGATGTATTGTAGAGTAAATGATTCCTTAGAATATGAATTAATGAAATGATATTAGAGTGAAAGTGTTATAACTTGTTGCCTAAGTGTTCAATTATTATATGATGTGATGATGCCGCCAATTAAAGAACAGTGAATTATAGATCGGATCAATGAAACATAAAACCCATACGAGCAGTCTAGACTGCCTGTTAGTCCTGCTTACAGCCTAACCCAGCCTGTTAAGTTCAAAACACCAATCTCAACATCTGTGATATTAATCATTTATTTCAAACATACTGGGTTTATATACCAATC